ACACACTCTTACTTTACAGACTGTATAGCCAATATTGCATGTCAGTCGTTACACAATATTGGCTCTACATTGGTGATACATTAGCCAATATTTTCCAATGTAATGCCAATATTGACTATATAATAAGTGCCAATGTGTAGCCAATATTGCGTGTCAGTGGTTACACAATATTGGCTATATAATAAATGCCAATGTGTAGCCAATATTGCATGTAGTCAATCATTACCTAATATTGTCTTTATTTGTTATTCATTTATTATTTATTTATTTATTTGTTATTGGATATATTTATTTATTATTGGATATATATTGTGGATAGATTGTTTATATCATATATGTACAATTAAGTAACACATTTATTACTCGAAGAAATGGTGCAGCACATAACGCAGAAGACTCATAGTCCAAAGGTCCCAGATTCGAATCCCATAGGTAAGTGAATTTTCACTCAATTATTTCTAATATTGATTATACATTATTTCAGGAATATTAGCGAATATTGAAAAACCATGTATAGCCAATGTAAAAATGTTCAAATCTTGTAGGTAAATGAATTTTCACTCAATTATTTTTAATATTGATTATACATTATTTCAGGAATATTAGCGAATATTGAAAAACCATGTATAGCCAATGTAAAACATTGGGTAAGAATTGAATCCCCAATATTGGCTAAATATGACTAAGCGTCTACTTTTATTATTTACAATATTGGACCAATATTGGAGATTAAATTTTTGCCCAATATTGGCGAAATATTGGAAAAACAATGTATAGCCAATGTAAAACATTGGGTAAAAATTGAATTCCCAATATTGGTCCAATATTGTTGAAACAATATTGGCTAGATATGACTAGGCGTCTACTTTACAATATTGGACCAATATTGGTTATCCAATAACGTCTACTTTACAATATTGGACCAATATTGGTTATCCAATGTTTTAATATTGGCTGTACATTTATTTCCCAATATTGCGTCAATAATTTGTGCTACTAGGGTAATCGCTGGTAGTCCACCTCCATATTGATCACTTATTGATTCACAAAAGTTACAAGTTTGGCAAGTACAATCTTATAGTATTGTTATGCCCGGATCAATGTTATGCCCGGATCAATGTTATGCCCGAATCGTGTCGTCCGTTACGTCTGAGAAGAGTCGTCTCCCGTTGCACGTTCCTGAAGAACGAAGAGCGCGTTGCTTGGCGACGAGCGCGGAGTTGTTGTTAAACAATTCGAAAGAGAGTCTCCGTCACGAACGGACGTGTTTCTCTCTACGCGAGATATTTATCCGATAACCACGCTTGATTGTATCGCGCTGTATTCCTGCGATTGTGAATAAACACATCTGTTTACCTTTTTACTCACGAGTGACTCATTTCGGCGAATCGGGAGTGCGGATCTGGTGAGACGAACGGACGCAACACACAAGACGCACGGACGGACGTAACATTTTGGGGGCTCGTCCGGTCGAAGTGTTGTGATCGTGTGATGCTGCGTTCTTCGGTCGTCACAAGGAGCAGGATACAAGCGGAAAATATAGAAGGAGCGATGGAGACGGATCGAGCCGCTTTAGAGGATTCCGCGGGCTGCTTCGCAGGAGACAACTCCGACGACGTTGGCTCTTCAGGCGG